TTCCTACATTTTCGGCAACGCAGACCGACTGACACCCTTCCCTAAATTTGTTCGCGGACAAACTCACTAACCGATTTGGTGGTTTTAGTATTTTTGAAAATAACTAAAGAGAAAACTCTACTTATATAGGATAGAGATGTTGGTGAACTTACCTTCAAGCGTTATCTGTAAAATTCCCTCTGTCTTTTATTTTTCTCTATAAATACTTTTAAGTGTGGTCATAAACACCGTTTATCTATCATAATGCGCCATAATAGTAGTTCTTTTTCCATTCTCAGCAGGGTATTTACACGAATGGAAATAGTGATAATAAAAAATAGAAATGAGGAAGGATCATAAGAATTGTAAGTGTTCTGAAATGCGATATGGTGAAAGAGTCGCATCACCCAGAGTACACTTTATTTTTTTTCTTCGTGGAAATTTGTGTAGACTTCTGCATGCACGAACGTGTTTCTTAGTCTCTATTTTTCAGAATCATAAATAATGAATGTCCTTGAACAAATCCTTTTTCGTTTTTTCATGAAGATGTGGGAAGATTTATGGAAGGAAATTTTTTGTGACCGTAATATGAGAGAGTGTAATTGAAAAGAAACGCATGTGATGAAATGCGATCGTTTCCGTTGGAAGGAATAATCCGCATTGTGTGGGAAAATAGAGTTTGATGTGGAATGCTTGGTAGGAGGAACGTAAGGGTTATTGTAGATCGGTGGGTATGCGTAGTTGATAGAGTGAGTGTGTGCGCGTGCGTGTGTGTTGTTTGGTGTGCGGTGATGTGGCGGGAGCGGTCAAGCATGCGGCCCTGTTCCCCCATATATGTACTACTCTTCATTTTCGCAATTCCTTCCAGAAATACATACATAACCATAAATAATATAATACATATACATACATAACATTTTTTATATCCTTATTAAATCGTATAAAAAAATATCATTTTTTTTAATTTAATTTAATTTAAAATATTTAAATCTAAGTTATAATTGAAAAATTTTGTTCGAAAATTTATTTTCTCAAGTGCATAAGAGACATAAACAATTTTAAAGTTATTATCTTTTCACTCATCTGTGCTACTAAAAAAAAAGGGAGAAAGGAAATATAATTTACACTAATTCACGCTAGTTAATTTCACAATTTTTTTCTCTCCGCATAACACTTCACACTAATATTAAATCTCGAAAATGACCACAGAAAGTCAAATATTAGTTTTAAAAAAATTCGAAGCGTTGTTTGGAAAATCGACGGAACAAGTTATGCTGTGACCCCATTCAGGGCTATATGCAATAAAAGTACGTTAAGCAAAGGAAATCCTCAATTTATACGGCGAGACATTAGTATGGACGAATATAAACACAAATTTAATTTAATATTATTCATATAAAAGGGACCAAACTTCGTTAATAAGAGACTTAGATAATCTAGCGCAAAAGCATCAATCAATCGAACCGTTCTTCAATCAATCAGATCCAATTTGCAATCAACAATAATATCTTAATCCATGAAATAAATCACAGTGCCGTAGAAGCCAAGCAAAAACTAGTTACGGAAGTGTGCCTGAACAAAGTTCTGTCGAGAACGTTAAAGAGAGTTTAGATACAAGAATTAGATGGGTAAGATCCAAAACCGGTGTAGAATCTATTGCAGTTTGTATTCAAGAATAAAAAATACATATCACAATAACAAAAGAGCAGAAACTGCCCATCCGTGAACCCTACTGCTCATAGTACAGAAGACGATTGCTTGAAGGCGGTTCCTCCCAGGAAGGCAATGCTTGTGTCAAGACTTGCACTTGATACATCTGTGGATAACATAAAAAGTGACTGGCGGCGAAAGTCCCACCAGTCAATTTAAAACGTGTTAGCGCTTTCAAATTGGCTCCTTCTCAATCTAGAGCAATCTCGTCTTTTTTAATACTAGTTCCGACTAAAAACATTGACATGTTGTTAAATAAACCTTTGTGGCCGGTTTGGCCCTTAATTAAGGAATTTATCCCTCGTGATTGACACCGCAACACTAATGCAGTAATCTTGTCGCTTTCAAACAACTAAATGTTTCTTCAAGCTTAATATCTCTCATTTATCAAAATGTCAGGGGCGCGGAGTTTTCCTGTTTGGCCTTCACTGAAACTTGGCTAAAGCCTGATCTACATTCGTCGGAACTTTTCATAATTCGTTTCAGGTTTTCAGAAATCATCGATTGTATCGCGATGGTGCTTTGATTGCAATATCTGCGGCAGTTCCCCCCTCTTCAATATAAGTTCCCACTACTCCCGACGTTGAACCTGCTCCTATATTCCCCCAAATTCTGATATCTCCATATATAAGAAACAGGACACCCTCATTTGTGAAGTGGCCAAGCAGTCCAAACCCAACGATATAGTCATAACGTTGGGTCACTTCAATTTGCCTCAAGCTACTTGGTGGTACAGTGATAGTTCTGGCTGTTTGATTCCTACTTCAACATCTGATAGAGCTGTAGTGTTCTTTAATTAATCATTATTTAGTTCAATAGAACGGTACCCCTAATTGCAATGGTAAACTGCTTGATCTCTGCTTTCTCAATATTCCTGAGGTTTGTGTTAATCGTTGTTCACCTTTTTTACACCAATTTGTATATTCGTTCATTACAAGCATGATGGTTCGTTGAACTGTTTTAATGTTCCAAATCCAACTTTTTTAGATAAATATTATGATTTCCATAAAGTCAATATTTTACTGCTAAAATCTCATCTTTCACATATTATGCTTGATTTATCATCTGGAAGTATTGAAAGCTTACTGTCATCGTTCTACAATATATAAAATCTAGCTATTTCTGCATATATTCCGATCAAGTCCCGTCCTCGAAGCAGGTGTCACCCGTGGTTTAATAAGCCTATTAAATGTTACAAGAATAGAAAAATCACGCCGTTCAAAAATTATTCGAAAAGCGGCTATGCCTTCGACTATTTCGCTTTTTAGGCGGCAAGGCGTAGGTTTAATTCTCTCAACCGCCAATATTATTGCAAATACCTTCAGTGCAATACATCCGCTCTGTTTGCTAATCCTAAATACTTTTTTACATTTGCTAACTCAACGAGAAAAATTCCCATAAATCCCTCGCATGTCACTCTTAATGGCTCTGATTTCTCAGGTGATTTTGAAATCTCAAATCTCCCTGCTGAATACTTAAGACGGAACTTTCCGACTGCTAATTCCGATTTATCAGGAAACTATCCATATCCGATAAGTAATTTGTTTTCAATTCCTAATTTGGTTGCTTCTGTGTACTTAATCTTGCGCTGTCGAGTTATGTGGTGTTATCTCAAAGATTTTTAGCCAGCCCTTGAATTCAGGTGTTTTCCCTTTGTGTTGGAAGAGCAGTTTCCGTATTCTTACTCGCAAAAGTGGAAGTAGACAAGTTGTTGAAAACTACAGAGGCATTGCCAAGTCGACTGTCTTGCCTAAACTGTTCGAGCGAATTGTGATTCAGTATTTGGGCTTTGCTATTAAATCGTATATTTCTTTACCTACCTACGGTCACCAATCTGTTAGAGTTTACTTCTCCAGTTTTCAAGGCTTCTTCTAGTGGCTCTCGCACTGATGTCATATACACTCATTTTAGCAAAGCGTGTGATTTGGCTAACCATGAACTACTCTTCTTTAAACTCCAAGCGTCTGGCTTCCTTTCTATTTATTGCAATGGTTAACCTCTTGTCTGCACAATAGATCCTTCAGGGTTTTGTTTAGTTTCATTACCTCTAATTCCCCGTGACTTCTGGCGTACCTCAAGGCAGCCACTTAGGTCCGATTTTATTTAATTTATACATTAATGATCTCCCATCGGTGATTAATTCCAGTCAGATGTTAATGTATGCTGATGATGTGAAACTGTTTTCATCCTTCTCTCTAGAACCGCAGTCACATCAGCTTCAAAGTGACTTGAATAATTTCAATCTAAGTAAATGTAAGAAGCTTTACTTCTCAAGAAGGAAGTCATTTATTACTCAGTATTTTATTGATTCGCACAAGTTTGAAGACGTCGATTCGTTCACAGATTTAGGCGTTCTATTTGACCAGGTTACGTTTTAACTTTCATATTGAGCTCTCGTTAAGCAAAACTAGGTCTGCACTTGATTTTGTAAAGATATGGTCCAAAGTCCTTGCATTACGAAAAGGCTGTGCATGTGTTTGGTTAGACCTATACTCGAGTATACCTTTGTTGTATGTCCTTCCTATCGTTGCTACGTAGATTCAAACGAATCTGTTCAAAAGCAATTCTTGCTGATTGCCCTTAGGAATTTAGGTTTGGACCAGCTTGCCTCTCTGCCTCTCTATGAAAATAGATTGTTTCTACTATCCCCACCGTCACTTGAGAAACGTAGATTTATTCTTGGGGTTTCCTTCTTAATCAAAGTAATAAATGGTAATATTGACTCTCCCGCATTACTTGGTGAGATAAGCTTTAAAGTCCCTAACCGCTTCTCTAGAGACTTTATAGTGATTAAGCTTAGTCAATGTAAATACAATTATGAGGTGTTTAACCAGGTCAGAGTTGTTTGCAGAAACCTAAATCATGTCTATCACTCATTCTAATTATCGTACTCTTTAAAGCAATTTTCCTTTTATTCGCGATTTACCTATGTCGTACTTAAACTAACTTTTCATTTATAGTACCTCGTTCTTTATTTAATTTAATATTGTGTTGTTAACGTGTGGGTTGGCAAGCTTACGCATGTTTGCAATGATTTAGGGGTTCACTTGCAACCTGGATCTGTTCTTGTTGTAGGTGTGCTTCTGTGCTAGCTGCGTACACGTTTTTTTTCCTCTCTCGTATAATTGAATTATACATGAATTATTATTTTTAACTTTTAAATTTATTTTCAAACTTACTTCGTTATTATTATTCTTCTTTTTTTCTTCCTTGTATACTAGTTACAAAAGAAGTAGTATAAAATTTTCTATTAAGGTGCAATGAATTCGACTGTAATTTTCCTTAGTTGAATTTCATGTATTATAAAATAAAATAAGTAAACAAAAAAATAAATACCTAACGTTTATCAGAAAGTCATAAAATCGTTACCCATTTTAGCAAACTCTTTTTCATTTGGTTTCTGCGTGAGGATTCATATCGAGTGAAAGTCTAACGCTGGAAATTAGCTTGTCGGGCAGCTTCCAACAACATTTACATTTCGTGTAGTTTTGTGGTATTTTTTAACGATAGCAGACAAATCATGTTTTTATGTGACGCAATAGGCCCCTTTTGCACCGAATGCCTTGCAGATTACTATCAATATGTTCCTGTTTTAGTTGATGCTGTTTGATGTGTTCCTTGACCCATTCTTTTTTCCTGACCGAAATAAATATTATCGCCCTGTTATAAATATAAACAATTATAGTGTTTAGCAATTCAAATACATCAAAAAAGAAACTAATTTATGTCGACGTACCTTGCCATCGTTTGCATCTGAAAGGCATTACTGAACATGAAAAGCCAAAAATTGGTAAGTAAAACTTTAAAAGAATAACTGGCAAACTGGTCTAATTTAGTTGGTTTTTTATACAATATTAAATTGATGATCTAATTGAATATTACAGTGAGTTACTTATGCCAAAGCTCAAATGAAAATGTCGACGCCATATGCAATCAGCTTGAACACAACAACATCATCCCGTACTTTGTCGAACGCTTTGGCGTTATTTAACACAACGAGCTCTCTCTTGCCAAAGCGGCGAGAAGCTCAGTTCCAATGTTCGGTGAAATAGGACATAAGGTCACCAGTGGACCGATTTTTCTGAAAGCTATATTATCTATTTCTAATTAGGTCACCGGATTTTAGATATACCGTTAGATGGTAGTTCACTACGGCCTCCATAGTCTTGGCTACAGCGGATTTGAGTGCACTTGGACGATAGCTTTAGACGAGTCTAGCACGACTGGCGATTGCGCAATGAGTGGCGAGTTTGTCAGCACAATTTTTGTTACTCTTGCTAAATGTTACTCTTTCGAACGGTCACAGTGGTTGGTTGCTCTATAGTAAGTTGGAATTTGAAGCGAACGTTTCAACCAACACATTACCTTTATCAACCGGGTCAGATATTTATTGGACGTTGTTGAGAAGAAAAGGAATCGATGCATTAGATTGGTTTCCAATTCTTTTCGTGAAATATCAACAGCTCGTGATACTTTTTAAAACGGCAAAACTTTGGCATGCACCAGCTGGTCGTTTGAAGCGAGGCGCAATAACTTGTTACATATATTTCTAAACAACTTGCGGTTAAGACGCGAAGATTTCACTGCTTTCTCTCTGGGCCTGACTGGATCCCGCCAACATTTGTCTTTGGAGTTAATCGAAGTGTTTTAGAATGGATGTATGTTCCCATTGCATGTTTGATCATGTTTTGTATGATTTCTTTATCGGCATTAATGTTATTATTTAGGGAACATAGATTTTAGCTAACATTTCACCCATAGCGTTATGGGTAGATTCAGGATATTTGAATGAATTTATTTATTGATTAATTTCTTTTGCATGAAACAGTACGTGTTACACGGCCCATCCAATAACATAAATGAATAACAATAGATCATTGCAGTAAACGCTACCAAACCTAAAAAGACTGTGAAATATTTACAATGTAGTTATTTTGCCTTGCCTGAAAAATAAGTTCAAAACTTAGTGTTTGTATCCTTACATAAATGTATAGTTTACTTAAAATACTAAACTAATTGGTATCCAAAATAAACTCGTATTAATACTAAGCCGCCGTTCTTTATGCCATAAAATGTAAAATTTGATCTAACAAAAAATTTTTAATGTCCCACCTTAAAGAAGGGAAAATTATATTCCAATAAGTAGTAAATTTGAACAAAAAGCATCAATAGGCTTACAAAATATTAGCAATTGTGTCTAGCTCATCGAAATTGAGGGGTCCATAAGTGGAATTTGCCCTACAGAATGTTTATGATTTTTATGTGTTGTAAGTGGACGTGTAGTGTAATGTGTATACTTACTTCGCCAGCCAGTATCATTCAAATCAAATTAGTTGTAAAACATTTATAACTAAAACAAACAATATGAATAATAAATTGCAAAATAATAAATTAATACTAATTAAGTTATTGCCAAAATAATTTGTTTGATAAACAGTAACATTTAACTCACCCATCTAAAACTCGCCGAATGTACATTCGTGAAAAAAAAACTAAACAGTTATATGACCTTTAAACTACCAATCAATGTGTGCGACGTGACCAATCATTTCGAAGGACTTGAACATGCGTTGCAGTGTATTGAGATTCTTTTTTTTCAAATGCGACAGGAGATACAGAAGACTTTGGGATTTTTCGTTGTTCTTTACGGCTTTGACTCGCTCTGGAAAAAATCACGAAATCTTTCCAATTATTGAGTTTTGCTGTCTCAACAGCTTAAAACGTATCCGTAACGTTTTTAATAAATTAACAATTGTTTTTTTTTCTTTTATTATTAACTCATATGAATTAATTTGAAAGTCTTTTAAGCAAACATTTTCTAATGGCAATTTAAAAGATTCTTATTCAAAAATTGTAAGTGTCAAAATTTTCTTTTTTTCTTCTTTTTTTTTTCTTAAATTTTATTGACTGATCACTACCAACTCAAATCAGACTAACTCGATTCCAAAAAAAAGTATTTAAAAAAAACGATGGCCTACTCATTTTCTTACACTTGTTATCGAGGACTAAAAATTCGTAAATTTATATTTTTAAAACTTTTTTTTTTGTTTGAACCGTCTATAAAAATCTGTACCCGGATTTCTACATTTAGGTCAGGATGGCGGAAGTGTTTTCGATCTATAAACGATGACATCATAATCACTTCCTCGAAAACCCCACTATTTCAGAAGAGTCACCGACTCACAAACCCAACACACAACAAGTCTCTAGTCCTAACCTTTATCTTTACATTTAAGGAATAAGATATTCATCTTTGTTGTTGTATAGATGGGCATTTTTCAATGCTCGTTTTTTATATAATTCTTATTGCTTCTGCTACGGTTGTGTTAAGTACAGCTTTCCGTTGTATTATATATTGCGTTCACCGTTCTCGTAGCTTTTATTATTGGTAATGTATTCGTTGTTGTTGCTGCTGTTATTTTTACTAATTGCAAGGAGCGAAACCATGATGTTACGGTCGTCGTGTATGATAGCCGCTCTTAATACCCTGTAAGTTATCTTACTTATTACTGCAGACACTTTTTTCACTAAGTTCCCCATAAAGTGTTGTTAATTTTATTATCTCGAAAAGTGCCTACGTAAAGTCGTTGATAACACTTTTTAAGAAGTCTACTCCCATCTGATGTTGCTATGATTATTGCTATTGCGTTTTCTTTGTTTTTATTTTCATTTTAGTTATCTACTTTGCGCGGTATTGAGGATTTGATTGAATAAACCACAAAAGCACTAAATAAAGCACAAATGGAATTATTTAAGTTGATCTAAGTCACGTGAGAAAGAAAACACGATCACGCTGCAGCAGGGTTGCCAGAGCTTAGATTGGCTGTTTCCAACATTGTTTTATTTTTTTGATGCTGCTGTTGCTGTTATTTCTGCTAGCGCTGTTATTTCTGTATTCTGTATATATTTTTATAGCTATATTGTGGCTATGCTTGTGATGCTGTATTGTTTACTTTTTACTCCCGTCTTATTGTTGTTGTTGGTTTTCCAACCAGTGTTGATGTTAACACTAAACCTACCGACATTTCATGTATACCTAATCCTACCATGAGCGGTCAAATGACCGCTTCAAAAAAGACATGTATCTTAGTAAAGTAGATAGTAACCAAAATATTTTTCTGATGCTACAATAAAAACTCGTTCCCCGCTTTTCGATGTTGTATGTTTTATTTACATTTATGCATTTTCATCAAATTTTTTACAAATTACAGCATTTTGTATTGAACATTTTCCACATACGTACTTTTTACATTTTACATTTTTTACAATATCTTATTTGACAAGATCTCCGTTCAGAAGAAACAGTATTTGTATTTATTATTGTTTTTGATGAGCATTCTTTGCTTATCTGTTTCACTTTCTGATATTCGGTCCCAAGTTCTTCTGCCAATTGAACTAAAAACTATTGAAGTATCAATACTTTTTTATTGGGTTTAGCTTTATAAACTGTAAGAATAAATTCTTTCGATTTGTATAATATTGTTGAGAAGCCTGTCATACTATCCTTTCCCTGTCTCGCTAATATTGGTAGCTCTCTTTTATTTCTCCAGATAGTTCCAACAAGCGTAGTTCTTTTTGCTAGAAGTTTACTCGCTAGTCACGCGTGTAAAAAAATCGTCAACTGTTATGTTTCTCCCATGGCCCGTATATGGTTCTGCTAATTTCAAAGTTACAAACTCTCCAAGTGGGATTGATGATTCTCTCCCTTCATCTTTTCCCAAATATGGAAAGCCGTTTACTATATATTTACTACTTACATCGGAAGCTAACCAGAATTTTATGCCGAATTTGTCCGGTTTGTTGGGCATGTATTGAGTAAATCTACAACGTGGTTTTGTAGCAAACAATTGTTCATCTATAGCACAGAAGAATAAGTAGCAAGTTGTCTAAGTAATTTACCCGAGAGGAACAAGAGTTCATGTAAATACGTCGGACGTGATGGAGTCGAAAAAACAATTGGAAGTTTTGTTATGAAGATAATAGCCTAACTATTTCAATAAGTATAAAGGAACCCCTAACTCCTGGAGTTTAAAGATCGGCAATTTATGGCTTAACAACTTAGGCAAAACACTTAACTTGGCACTGCTTCTGTATAAAGAATTAGAAAGCTACTCTTCCACCATAAAGAAAAAATTCCTATTTTCAAAGAAAAGTTAAATATCTTTGTGATAACGACACAAAGTTTGTCAGAGTTTGATATCAGTACACATGATGGAATACCATGAGGACCTGGTAACTTACTACACTTGACCTTAAACGTTTTAATCGCTTTCCGAAATAGCCGATTTCGGCATGGATACAGAGTTTATGACTTAATATGGAGAATTATATAAAGCATCAGCGTCAGCAACAAAAAACTACTGTCGGATATGTTCGACAGAAAGATTCTCTGTTTCTATATCTACAAAGGAGTGAAACATCAATATGGGGATTCAGGTATGGAGATTCTTCTTTTGGAGTTGACGCATCTGTAAAATTATTCAGCATTAGCAAAATGTGAAGATTTTATCATTTGAAGATATCTGCGATAATATTCGTGATTGATGAAATTAAATCTGTGCTTTCAAGTAAAGTAGGCCAAATAGCCATGCACACGAGCCACTTTTCATATAATTTTTGAAAAGTTGGTTTTACCTTCTTTTATATCTACCACTGTAAGATGGGGGTGTACTCATTTTGTTTTTTTTCCAAAATATATGCAGCACCCAAAATGAAGCTCCTATAAAGCATATACATTCTTGATCAGCGACAAATTCTGAGTTGATTTAGCCATGTCACGTAGACTCTGTCATTCGTTATGATAATTCGGACAGACAAAGAAAACATTTTGAGCGTTTTCGATGCAACAATCACAGTATGGGCTCTGCTCTGTTTTAAACCTTATGTAGATATGATCTAAAACCATGACCATTAATTACCTGTGTCAAATATAAGTCCGCCTCACCATGTGGCCTATTCACCCAGGGCCGCAGATCTGCTATGAGCCGATGTGCCCATCTCACCTTACTCGTTCTGTTCCAGGGCTCCTGACAGTCTTCCACCAGTCGTTGGGTTGCTCGCTGCTTAGCTGCTTCAGCCGAAGATTTGTGAAATTCAGCCCTATATATACCTTCTTTAGTTAGCTAGTCGATTGGTATCTCGCCAACGATAACCAAAGCCGTATCTTACGACACGGTCCGATATGCGGCGCACACCCTTAGAGCGCAGAGCCTGTACGCTGATTGGATGTCTCTCGTGTATCACGGTATATCCAGAGCTTTTTTTTACACATTATTGTCGCAGTTACCACTTCTGCGATCAGCTTTTCACGGTCTTGCCTAGGGCCCCGCAAGTTTGACACTAAGCGCGCCAGCCACTTTTCTATCTTTACTTCCTTTTCGCCAGTATATTGTAGCTGCCGTTTAAACGAAGTCGATCATCACTCCTAGGTATTTTACAGCGTCTTGTGACTGTATCCTTGTCTTTCCCACTTGAAGATTCATTTTCTCAATCTTCTGACTAGAAGTAACTAATAGCGCTTCTGGTTTTTCTTCCGCCAGATCTAAATCCACGGACAACAGCCACCTTTCATTCATGTCGATTGTTTTATTCGCTGTAGTGGTAATTCCCTCCAAATTTTTTACTACGATGGTTATCGCTATATCATCAGCAAAACCCACGAGGGAAGTTTACTCTCGAGATATCGTCGTACATTACATAGCACTCTGTAGGGCCTAGACTGATGCCTGACATACCCCTCCAGTGACCGGCCGTTCTCTACACCTTTTATCCGTTACGTAGCGAAGCTTGCGACAGTAAATCAAGTAGCCACTATATTTATAAGATACGTTGAGACTATTGTTTCCTTTAGGGCAACTATGACACAATACCAGTTTGCTGAGTTGAATGCATTTTTAATATCTAATGTGATTACTAAGCAATACTTTTTGTTGCCTTACATCCTTTTATCTCTTCTGCTGCAATGTTCGTAACTATCTTTATTGCACCTGTTGGGCTTTTCTCTTTCCTGAAGCCAGATTGGAAACCCGACAGATCTTTAGAGCTCTCTAGCCATTCTTCTATACGATATCGAATAATCTTTTCATACACTTTGTTATATTGAGCCCTTAGTGTGGCTTTGAAACATAAGTTAATGCTTGCATATTTGGAAAATACCTTTTGTCGTATGTACAAAACAATCTGAATAGCGACGAGTTCTTATTAAACACTTTTTTATTTTCTTTTATTTTTCTTTCTTCCAAAAGTAAACCCACGATGATATACGCAGAAGAATGCGGTCCTCTCAAATTGCACACGCATTCAATCTCATATCACATATTCTAGTTGGTTGTATATTCTCTTCGTTCTTCTACCTTCCGGAATTTCACTTATTCTTTTATAAACATTTTAAATTACGTGACTAACATTTTATAAGAAACATTTCTTCCATGCAATTGATTATATGTGCCCATAATTATGAAAGCGGTCTAAGTCAAAATTTAAAAGAAGTGAGTTTATCAGTTAATTCACATCACATAGCTTTAAACTAAATTAATTCAATGTAATTTTACGATATCGTCAAAATGAACCATTAGATGGTGGTTATAATTTCAACATTGTATGGAATCCATTTAGTGTTAATTATGAAAGTGATCTAAATCAAATACAACAGAGCTCGTCGCACTTCTGGTCGAAAATATTTGAGTCCTCATTGACATATTCGTAAAATGTATAGCCTGTAGGTAGGAAAATGTGACGAAAATAACCAATAATTTGCTAGGGACTTTATAAGCAGACGCCAATATTTTTGGGAG